GCCAGGCTGGTCGTAAACTCCTGACCTTGTGATTCCTTTCTTTTCTTTTCTTTATTTGAGATGGAGTTTCACTCTTGTTGCCCAGGCTGAAGTGCAATGTCACGATCCTGGGTTACTGCAACCTCCGCCTCCTGGGTTCAAGCAGTTCTCCTACTTCAGTCTCCCAGGTAGCTGGGATTACAGGCGTGCACCACCATGCCAAGCGAATTTTGTGTTTTCTGTAGAGACAGGGTTTCGGTGAGGAAGGAGACCCAGGCCTCTGGGATTCCCTCCACCCTCTGTCATTCACCGTGGATCTCAATTGAATAAACAGTAGGCCAGATGGCGCCTCCTGAATCTCCTTATTGTAGGTGGTAGGCTTCGTCTTAGGGAAACTCTCAGGAAGACACTGTTTTTAGGGGGCCAAGGCGGGCAGATCACTCGAGGTCAGGAGTTTGAGACCAGCTTGGCCAACATGGGAAAGTCTCGTCTCTACTGGAAAAAAAAAAAAATTACAAAAATTAGCTGGTCATGGTGGCTTACACTTGTAGTCCCGGCTACTTGGGAGACTGAGGCAAGAGAATTACTTGAATGTGGGAGGTGGAGGTTGCAGTGAGCCAAGATTCCGCCACTGCACTCCGGCCTGGGCGACAGAGTGAGACTGTCTCAAAACAAAACAAAAAAAGAATTAAGTGTAGACAAAAGGCAAACTGAGATGTCTGATCACCATACTTATGAAGAGCTCACATAATATGGAAAAAATTCTCAAGTAGAAGCAAGGAAATTTGAGTTCTATATCTGGTTCTGCTGCTATTAACAGCTTCCTGTCTTTAACCAATCTTCTGGCCTTTAGTGCTTTCATACGTAAACAGAAAACTAGCACTGGTGTCTAAGTCCCCTTACAGCCTCTAGTGCATCTATATTGGTGAGCAGGATCAACTCACACAAAAGGGAGATCCTTAGACAGGCAATGAGGAAGGAGGAAAGATAGGTCAGAAAACAGGAAAGAACTTGAGGCAGTCCAAACCTTAGGACCAGAAGTCTGTGAGGCAATGGTGTGTCTGACTTCCAGGATTCATGTATCCTTTCCATTGGTCTTTTAATTTTTTTCTTCTGGCTTTGTAATTCATACATGGTTAGGAGAAAATGTATAAATGAAAATAAAGAAACAGGCAAGAAATTATATTAAAATCAACAAAAATCTCAATACCAGCAATGATCACTAGTGTTTTTAAGTTTGGTATAAACCCTTCCAAACGTTTTTTTCATGCAAATATATAAATGTACTTTTAATGTGATAAAACAGCTGTGTAGCCAAGTTACACAAAAACATATTCACCGTATTCATATCAATAGACATCGTCATTTCATCACTTTTAATGGCAGCTTAGTACTCTGTATCATGGATGTGCCACAATTGTTTCACCAAGTCCCTTTTAAATTACAATCTTTCATGAATATGTATATACAATTAATACATACATATCTTAGAAATATACCTCTGTGGTCTTGTCCCAATAGTGCCTTACAGTAAGTTCCTTGAAGAATGACTGCCAGGTCAAGGGTAGGGGCTTTTTTTTTAGTGTATATTAACTGTCTGGCCTCCATAAGTTCTCCACCCAAGGAATGTATTACAAAAGAATGATAATTTAAGAATTGAAGAATTCTCTAAAGCAGTATTCAAGATCCCTATCACTAAAAATAATCTCCACATTTCACTACACACCATCTTATGACTTTTTTTCATGACCCATGATACTCACATGTCAGAAGCTGGCTAAGAATTTAAAATATAAAGCCACTGTTTTTCTTCAGGGAACATAGTACCATGCTACAGATCTTAAATGAAGTTTCTGTACGTCTACTGCATCACAGTACAAAGAGATGCTCTTCTACATTATGTAGAAAAGAGAAGATACTTTCACTTAATTATTTAAATACTTTTAAGATCTATGCACAAAGAACCACTATTACGTAAAATTCATAATCTTTTGCTATTTTCAAATAGGAACAATTAGTCAGATGTATAATAATTATCAAGAAGCAGATTTACCCACAGAATTTTCAGTTTTTCTTCAGATCTCCTTGCGGCTTGACTTGATTTAACAATAGACAATGTAGAGCAGTGGAGCTATTTAGGCATGGAGTGACCACATGACAATAACTAACTCTGTGACAGCACACAAACGACAAAAAACAATGCTCAGATAACTCGAGTCTTTTTCCTTCCTCTGCCGTTGAATGCGAAAACCAAAATTGACTATATAAGCAACAAAAGGAACTGAGCTGTCGTCAAATAAAAATTAGGTTTGAAAACAGAGCTGAGGAAACTCCCAGCTCCATTGTTCAGTCAGCCTGGTCACTTTCAGCAAATCAATTTATCTCTATGCACTCATGTTTCTCACCCTTAAATCATGCACTGCTCTATCACCTTCAAAGCCATCATGAGAATTAGTCATAGACAATAAAAGCATATCACATTCCTTAGAACATTATAATAATATTCACGAATTCTAAAAAAATTTCCAGCAAGACCAGGTGAGTGAAATAAGATACACAATATTAACAAATAAAGAGAGCCATTTCTCCTTTAGGCCAAAATACAGAAATAAAAATTACCCCCCTGCTTTAGACAACCAAGACACACTGGATGCCAGGCAATGAAGGACAGAGATCCCTGAAAATCAGGGGAGAGAAGCTCAGCTGTACTATTATCCACACTTACTGCGTGATACAGATTCCAGGCCTCTGCATTGGTAGGAAGAACCCAGGCAAAACATGGAGGACAACTTCCTGAGCTGACATGAAAGTGAGAGCCAATGGAGACCAAGGCAGAATAGAGAAATGGAGGGAGGAGATAAGGAGCCCAGAGATCTGCAGAAGATCCACTTCAAGAATTCAGCAGGGCACTAATAAGCACATGAATGTGAGGTAATTATCGAAAACCAGGGAAAAAACATCCCAACAGTATACAGATCTGGCCAGATGTCACTCTAAGCCTATACAGGTTTCCACCATCCACGCTTAAAACACTTATTTCACTTACGTGGTGCTGAGTACAAATCAGGAAAACCGTGCCTGAGTAGTGGAGAATAATTAGTCCTACAATGAGTACTGCTCCAAATGTGCCTAATAAGCTAACTGCAGATCAGATAATGCAGAAAAATGAAATAAAAACATAATGATATGTTCTATACATACATGAAATTAAGTAATTTCATTTTCAATAGCATCTAAAAGAAAAAAATACCTAAAAACAAATTTAACCAAGGAAGTGAAAGATTTATACACTGACAATTACAAATCATTACCAAAAACAAATTTCACCTAAACAAAGAGACATTAATGTCCACAGAAAGGAAGACTTATTATCACTAAGCTATCAATACTATTCGATGTCATTTATAGATTCAATGCAATCCCTATCAAATTCTCAATCACTTTCCCGCAGAAACAAGCCCAGGAGTTTGAGATTACAGTGAGCTGCGATTATACCACTGCGCTACAGCCTGCGCTACAGACCAAGACCTTCTAAAAAAAAATAAAGAATAAAAGGGAGATCCTTATGAAGAATTAAGAATCAGCCAGGTGCAGTGGCTCACGCCTGTAATCCCAGCACTTTGGGAGGCCAAGGCAGGGGAATCTTGACTCCTGAGATCGGGAGTTCAAGACCAGCCTGGCCAACATGGCAAAACCCCACCTCTACTAAAAATACAAAAATTAGCCAGGGCCAGGTGCAGTGGCTCCCGCCTGTAATCCCAGCACTTTGGAAGGCCAAGGCAGGTGGATTATGAGTCAGGAGATCAAGACCATCCTGGCTAACATGGTGAAACCTTATCTCTATTAAAAATACAAAGATTAGCTGGGCATGGTGGCATACGCCTGTAGGCCCAGCTACTCAAGAGGCTGAGGCAGCAGAATCACCTGAACCCAGGAGGTGGAGGCTGCAGTGAGCTGAGACCACGCCACTCACTACACTCTAGCCTGGTGACAGAGCAAGACTGTCTCAAAAAACCACCACCACAACAACAACAACAAAAATTAGCTGGGAGTACTGGTGCGTGCTTGTAATCCCAGCTACTCAGGAGGCTGAGGTGGGAGAATCGCTTGAACCCGGAAGACGGAGGCTGCAGTGAGCTGAGATCCCACCACTAAACTGCAGCCTGGGTGACAGAGTGAGACTCCAACTCAAAAGAAAAAAAGAATTAAGGATCACTTCGAATTCTCATGGAATTGCAAAGGACACCAAACAGTCAAAACAATCTTGAAAAATCACAAAATTGGACAATGCACACTTCCTGATTTCAAAACCACAAAGCTACAGTGATCAAAACAGTGTGGTACTGGCATAAGGATAGACATATACCAATGGAATAGAAAGGAAAAATTCAGGAATAAGCCATGTATGGCCAACTGATTTTGAGTAAGAGTGCCAGAAAAGAATGGTCTCTTGAACAAACGGTATTGGAGCGACTACTTTTTCACATGTAAAGAATAAAGTTAGAACCCTACTTCACGCCATATATGAAAATTAACTCAAAGGGATTAATGGCCTACATATAAGAGCTAAAAAACATAAAACAGAGATAAATCTTGGATTTAGTAATAGATTCTTAGATATGACACTAAAACTACAAGAAAAGAGAGAGAGAAGTTGGGCTTCCTCAAGCTACAAACTTTTAAAATGAACCAAAGACCCATCATTAGACTTAAAACTATAAAACTCTTAAAAGATAACATAGGGCAAAAGCTTCATGGTATGAATTTGGCAATGATTTCTAGGATATGACAATAAAAACCCAAGCAACAAAGTAAAAATAGATACACTGGACTTTATGAGAATTTAAAACTTCTGTGCATCAAAGGACACAATCAGCAGAGTTAAAAAGGAGAGTGGCAGCGGCCACAGCTCAGCTCCCCCCAGGCACCCCGGCCGCCATCTGTGAAAAAAATAAAAAAATAAATAAAAATAAATGGTAACCTACAGAATGGAAGAAAAATTGCATATGATCTGTCTGATAATGGAGTGTCTCAGTCTATTTTGTGCTACTACAATAGAATACCACAGATTTAGTCAACCTACTCCCCATGTGGGCAATGCGGCCTTGCATGGTGCCGCCAACCAGCTCCCAGACACATGCAATGATGTCCCAGATATTACACCCCCACCCACTGGGGGCAATGTAACACCTGACAGCATCCCCAACCCATCCCTCACCGCTGGCAGTGTTGCACCCCACAGTGCCACCAACCCATCCCAGACAAAGGCATTGCAGCACCTGATAGCTCCTCCAACTCACCCCCACCTAGGGCAGTACATCCCCGGACAGTGCCCACAAAATGCCCCACTGCTGCTGGCAGTACTGCTTGGGACAGGCCCTATCGCAGCCCCCAGCAATGGGCAACACACTCCAGGAAAGGGCTCCCAACCCTCTCCCCTACGCGGGCTGTGGCACCTCAAATACCGCCCCCCCACCAGCCCTCGCAACACCAGCAGTGTCACCCTGGATAGTGCCCACTGCCCATGGCAGGTCACTCCCAAGTCGTCTCCCATGCCTAAGCCTGTGCAGGCCAAGATGGTGAACCTATCGCGCCATCTTCTTACCTTTCTAGCTGTGCTGTAGTCTCCGTCAGTGCCACCAACCGCAACAGCGAGGCGGAGCCGACTGCAGACGCTAGCCTCCAGCATGGGCGGTGGCCGGCTACTCCCACTTCTCCTCAAAGCCAGCTCGGAGCAGGTGGGCCCACGTCCAAAATGGCGGACTCCTGGAGTCTGAAACGGCGAAACTCCCGCTTGCCATCCTTTATATACGGGGGTTCCTAGACTACATGTTTGGATTGGATGAGAGCAAACTTCAAGGTCTACTTAATTGGGCTTTATTTCTACGGTCTGATTGGCTAACCTAAAACTTGTTCTCATCCAACCCGAAGCTATTCAAGCCAGGCTGAGCTGTGGCCCCTTTAAGAGGGTGTGGTGCTTCAGCCTTGAGGCGAGTGCCTGTCAGTGTGCGTGCCCCTACGGAAGCCCGCCCACCCGGCAAGAGAGAAGTCAGCGAAGGCAACGGCGGCCCGGGTCCGCCCGGCCCAGCCCGGCCAGAGAGAAGTCAGTGGGGACGAAGGCGGCCCCGGTCCGGCCAGAGGGAAGTCAGTGGAGGCGGCAGTGGCGGCACGGTCAGAGCGAGTTTCTTTGGAGAAGCCGTGGTGGCTTCCACATGATGGTGGAGGACGAGACAGGTCTCTCTGGTAAGTGGTGGGGACTTGTACCTCACTGTGAATCCTCCAGACCCCCCTGCTCTTTCTTGGCAGCCTCCTGCTTTGTCTGGGATGGGTTGGTGGCACTATGGGTTGCAACACTGCCAGGATGAGGGATGGGTTCGGGGTGCTGTCAGGTGTTACATTGCCCCCAGTGGGGGGGGGGGCGTGTGAGATCCACGACATCATTGCCTGTGTCTGGGTGCTGGTTGGGGGCACTGTCCAACGCTGCATTGCCCACATGGGGAGTGGGTTGGGGGCACTGTCTGGGGCTGCAGTGCTGGTGTTGGAGGATGGTTTAGGGGGTGCTACATGCTGGTTGGGGGGAGCGCCCGAGCAGAGCCTGGGTGGTCCCAGTGGTTCCTATGGAGTGGGAAGCCCAGGCACCATGGTGTCTCCAGTCTCTACTCCCTAGCCAGTTTGGGCCAAAAAGAGATGCTGTGGCCTTTGGAGGGTGGGTGTGAGTGCCTTCATTGAAACTGGCTCATGCCACCCAGTGGCCAGCATGACAAGGTGGGGGGTCTAATGCTACCATTCTCTTGTGTCCCATTCTAGGCTTTTCTGGCTTTGCCCGCCCAGCTGCTCCCGTTCTAGGCTTTTCTGGCTTTGCCCACCCAGCTGCTCCATGCCACGAGAAGGAAGAGCTGTCTGCTGCATGCTGGAGGCTGGAGCCTGTGGCACCACGGCTCGCCTTGCTGCAGTGGGTGGCAGCGACAGAGACTGCAGAGTGCTGGAGAGGTAGAAGCGTGACTGGCTGCCACCAGGGCAGGGATGGGTGCAGAGGTGGCCAGGTGGCGAGCCTCTGAGGCGGCCTTGGTCCCTGGGTCCCCCCCCACTGCTGTTTATGGCAGGCAGAGCTGGGGTTGCCACTGCTTCTGATGCGCTGTGTGCAGGTAGCAGCTACAGTTGAGCCGTAGGGTGGCAGTGCTGGTTCCTGTTTTTCTGTTCCTTTTTGTCCCTGGTTCAGGGCTTTGGTCACGGGCACTAGTTACCCTACAGACACTGTGATGGGGCTGGGTGCCAGTTCCCGTCCTCCTCCTGCTTGGGGCCTGATTTAGGCGCCGCAGCAGTGTCTGGCCCTTAGGTCCGCATTGCTGGAGGAAGCAGGCAGGATCAGGGGTTGCCACCACGCTGCCCAATGCCATCTCTAAGTGGCAGGTGCAGCAGAATGCACAGGAGGCTGCAGGGCTGGTCTCAGAGAGTCTGGGAGTTGCCCAGGGCACCTCCCCCCACCCTAAGATCTGGGCTTCCTTGGCCCAGGCCCAGAGTGTGGGGTCGCGGGCTCTGGGCCCACAGCAGCACCCAGGATGAGTCTGAATGCCAGTTTCCATCACCCTGTAGCTGTGCCACTGACTGCCTAAATTAGGCACCATGGTGACATCTGGCCCTGGGATTCCTGCTGCTGGTGGGGGAGGACAGGGCCAGGGGTTGCCACTGATGCTGACTTGCGCCATTTCCAGGTTGCAGGTGTGGCTGAGCCCATGGCAGATTCTTGTGGGGCTGCTCCCCAAGGGCGTGGGGGTTTGGGAGTATACCACCATCCCACCGTAGGGACCACTTTTCCTTAGGCCTGGCCCAGAGCACACGTTTGCAGGCACTGGGCACTGTGCAGCCACAGAGTTGTGACTGAGCACCTCCTGCCCTCTCACACCTGTGGGCTGTCTGTGGCAGTATCTGGTCCTGGGTTCCATGCTACTGTGTAGTCTGATTTTTATGCGTTAAAATCATTTTAAATAATTTTTTCTCTTTGTTACTGTTACCACTTTAGTACAAAATCTAGGTTAATTTATTTTATCTTGCTTTTAGAAGTTTTTTACTTAAAATTTATTCTGTAATCTACAAAACACATACAGCATTCCAAAATCAAATAAGTCCAGCATCTAACCCCTTTTACCCTGTTTGTACCCTATCTCTCCACATTGCTTTGTTTTAAAAGGGCTGTGTGTACTTCTCTTTCTTCCTTGGATAAGTGGCATCATCCCATGGATACTTTTCTCCATTTTGCTTTTCTCATTTAACAGTACTTTTAGCGACATCTTCATAGTGACAAAGAAAGATACTCTTTATTCCGTTTTACAGCTACATGGTATGACATGATACTAAATTGTATGAATGTATTTATATTTATTTAGCTAGTTTCCTATTTATGAATATGGGGTCATTTTTATTTTTTTGTTACAGATTGTGCTGCAATAGCTATACAAATATGATTTTTAATATTTTCTGATTAACAATAATGAAGCTAGTGTGTTGTTTGGGTGTATTTCTAGAAGTTGGTTTGCTGGGTTAAAGGGTAAAATATATATGAAATCCTGATGGATATTGCTTTTTTTTGTTATTATACTTTAAGTTGTTAGGTACATGTGCAGAACATGCAGGTTTGTTATATAGTTATACATGTGCCATGGGGGTTTGCTGCATCCATCATTCTGTGATCTACATTAGGTATTTCTCCTAATGCTATCCCTGCCCTATCCCCCCACCCCCTGCTATCCCTCACCTACTCCTCCATCCCCTGCAACAGGCCCTGGTGTGTGACGTTACTCTCCCTGTGTTGATGTGTTCTCATTGTTCATCACCCACTTATGAGTGAGAACATGCAGTGCTTGGTTTTCTGTTTGTGTGTCAGTTTGCTGAGAATGATGGTTTCCAGCTTTATCCATGTCCCTGCAAAAGACATGAACTCATCCTTTTTTATGGTTTCATAGTATCCTATGGTGTATATGTGCCACATTTTCTTTATCCAGTCTATCATTGATGGGCATTTGGTTGATTTTTTTCTTTGCTGTTGTGAATGGTGCCACAATACACATACATGTACATGTGTCTTTATAACAGAATGATTTGTAATCCTTCAGTTATATATCCAGTAATGGGATTGCTGGGTCAAATAGTATTTCTATTTCTAGATCCTTGAGAAATCGCTACACTGTCTACAATGGTTGAACTAATTTTCACTCCCACCAATAGTGTAAAAGTTTTCCTATTTCTCCACATCCTCCCCAGCATTTGTCTCCAGATTTTTTAATGATCAGCATTCTAACTGGCGTGAGATGGTATCTCAGTGTGGTTTTGATTTGCATTTCTCGAATGACCAAGGATGATGAGCTTTTTTTCATGTTTGTTGGCTGCATAAATGTCTTCTTTTGAGAAGTGTCTGTTCATATCCTTCGCCCACTTTTCGGTGGGGTTTTTTTTGTAAATTTGTTTAAGTTCTTTATAGATCCTGGATATTAGCCCTTTGTCAGATGGGTAGCTTGCAGAAATATTTTCCCATTCTGTTGGTTGTTGGTTCACTCTAATGATTGTTTCTTTTGCTGTACAGAAGCTCTGGAGTTTAATTAGATCCCATTTGTTTATTTTGGCTTTTGCTGCCATTGCTTTTGGTGTCTTAGTCATGAAGTTTTTGCCTAGGCCTATGTCCTGAATGGTATTGCCTAGGTTTTCTTCTAGGGTTTTTATGGTGTTAGGTCTTATGTTTAAATCTTTAATCCATCTTGAGTTAATTTTTGTATAAGGTGTAAGGAAGGAATCCAGTTTTAGCTTTCTGCGTGTGGCTAGCCAGTTTTCCCAACACCATTTATGAAATAGGGAATCCTTTCCCCATTGCTTGTTTTTGTCAGGTTCGACAAAAATCAGATGGTTGTAGATTTGTGGTGTTGCCTCTGAGGCCTCTGTTCTGTTTCATTGGTCTATATCTCTGTTTTGGTACCAGTGCCATGCTGTTTTGAAGTCACATACTGTAATGCCTCCAGCTTTGTTTTTTTTTGGGGGGGTGCTTAGGATTGTCTTGGTTATGTGGGCTCTTTTTTGGTTCCATATAAAATTTAAGGTGTTTTTTTCCAATTCTGTGAAGAAACTCAACAGTAGCTTGATGAAGATAGCATGGCCATTTTCACAATACTGATTCTTCCTAACCATGAGCAGGAAATGTTTCCTTTTGTTTGTGTCCTCTCTTATTCCTTGAGCAGTGGTTTGTAGTTCACCTTGAAGAGGTCCTTCACATCTCTTGTAGGTTGTATTCCTAGGTATGTTATTCTCTTTGTAGCAATTGTGAATGGTGGTTCACTCACAATTTGACTCTCCGTTTATTTGTTATTGGTGTATAGGAATGCTTGTGGTTTCTGCATACTGATTTTGTATCCTGAGACTTTGCTGAAGTTGCTTATTAGCTTAAGAAGATTTTGGGCAGAGACAATGGGGTCTTCTAAATATACAATCATGTCATCGGCAAATAGAGACAATTTGACTTCCTCTTTTCCTAATTGAATACCCTTTATTTCTTTTTCTTGCCTGACTGCCCTGGCCAAAACTTCCAATACCATGTTGAATAGGAGTGATGAGAGAGGGTGTCCTTGTTTGGTGTCAGATTTCAAAGGGAATACTTCCAGTTTGTGCCCATTCAGTATGATATTGGCTGTGGGTTTGTTGTAAATAGCTATTATTATTTTGATATTTGTTCCACTGATACCTAGTTTTTTGAGATTTAAACAGCCCTTTATACTAATGTTTTATGTTAAAACTCTATGCTAAAAAACTCTCAATAATGGAAACCATCATTCTCAGCAAACTGAAACAAGAAAAGAAAATCAAACACCACATGTTCTCATTCATAGGTGGGTGTTGAACAATAAGAACACATGGACACAGGGAGGGAGCATCACACACTGAGGTCTGTTAGGGGGAAATGGGGGAGGGACAGCAGGGGGTAGGGAGGTTGGGGAGAAATGCCAGATACAGGTGATGGGGGGATGGAGGCAGCAAACCACATTGCCATGTAGATACCTATGCAACAATCCTGCATGTTCTGCTTTTGAGGGTCTCTAGACCCTCAAGTACAGTAAAGTATACATTTTTTAAAAAAAGTGCTGTTGAACTTTGTCTAAGGCCTTCTCTGCATCTATTGAGATAATCATGTAGTTTTTGTCTTTCATTCTGTGTACGTGATGGATTACATTTATAGATTTGGGTATTTTAAAGCAGCCTTGCATCCCAGGGATGAAGCCAACTCGTTAGTGATGGATAAGCTTTTTGATGTGCTATTGGATTTGGTTTGCCAGTATTTTATTGAGAATTTTAGCATCAATGTTCATCATGTTCTGGGCCTACAGAAGCCCGCCCGGCCTGGCGGAGAGAAGTCAGCAGAGGTGGCAGCGGTGGCCCTGGCTCGGCCCAGCCACAGGGAAGTCAGCGTAGACAGCGGCAGCGCAGTCAGAGTGAGTATCTTTGGAGAAGCCGTGGTGGCTTCCATGTGATGGTGGAGGCCGAGACAGATCTCTGTGGTAAGTGGCAGGGACTTGTACCTCACCGGGAATCCTCCAGACCTCCCTGCTCCTTCTCTGCGGCTCCCTGCTTTGTCTGGGTTGGGTTAGGTTGGTGGCACTATGGGGTGCAACACTGCCAGCGGCGAGGGGTGGATTCGGGGTGCTGTCAGGTGTTACGTTGCCCCCAGTGGGGGGGGTGTGAAATCCACGACATCATTGCCTGTGTCTGGGTGCTGGTTGGGGGCACTATCCATCGCTGCATTGCCCACATGGGGAGTGGGTTGGGGGCACTGTCTGGGGCTGCAGTACTGGTGGTGGAGGATGGTTTAGGGGGTGCTACATGCTGGTTGGGGGGAGCACCTGAGCAGAGCCTGGGTGGTCCCAGTGGTTCCTATGGAGTGGGAAGCCCAGGCACCATGGTGTCTCCAGTCTCTACTCCCTAGCCAGTTTGGGCCAAAAAGAGATGCTGTGGCCTTTGGAGGGTGGGTGTGAGTGCCTTCACTGAAACTGGCTCATGCCACCCAGTGGCCAGCATGACAAGGTGGGGGGTCTAATGCTACCATTCTCTTGTGTCCCATTCTAGGCTTTTCTGGCTTTGCCCACCCAGCTGCTCCATGCCACGAGAAGGAAGAGCTGTCTGCTGCATGCTGGAGGCTGGAGCCTGTGGCACCGCGGCTCGCCTCGCTGCAGTGGGTGGCAGTGACAGACTGCAGAGTGCCGGAGAGGTAGAAGTGTGACTGGCTGCCACCAGGGCAGGGATGGGTGCAGAGGTGGCCAGGTGGTGAGCCTCTGAGGCGGCCTTGGTCCCTGGGTCCCCCCCCTGCTGTTTATGGCAGGCAGAGCTGGGGTTGCCACTGCTTCTGATGCGCCATGTGCAGGTGGCAGCTACAGTTGAGCCGTAGAGTGGCAGTGCTGGTTCCTGTTCTTCTGTTCCTTTTTGTCCCTGGTCCAGGGCTTTGGTCACAGGCGCTAGTTAACCTACAGACACTGGGATGGGGCTGGGCACCAGTTCCAGTCCTCCTCCTGCTGCGGGGCCTGATTTAGGCGCTGCAGCAGGGTCTGGCCCTTAGGTCTGCATTGCTGGAGGAAGCAGGCAGGATCAGGGGTTGCCACCACGCTGCCCAATGCCATCTCTAAGTGGCAGGTGCAGCAGAATGCACGGGAGGCTGCAGGGCTGGTCTCAGAGAGTCTGGGAGTTGCCCAGGGCACCTCCCCACCCTAAGATCTGGGCTTCCTTGGCCCAAGCCCAGAGTGTGGGGTCACGGGCTCTGGGCCCACTGCAGCACCCAGAATGAGTCTGAATGCCAGTTTCCATCACCCTGTAGCTGTGCTGCTGACTGCCTAAATTAGGTACCATGTTGACATCTGGCCCTGGGATTCCTGCTGCTGGTGGGGGAGGACAGGGCCAGGGGTTGCCACTGATGCTGACTTGCGTCATTTCCAGGTTGCAGGTGTGGCTGAGCCCATGGCAGATTCTTGTGGGGCTGCTCCCCAAGGACCTGGGGGGTTGGGGAGTGTACCGCCATCCCACCATAGTGTCCACTTTTCCTTAGTTCTGGCCCAGAGCACAGGTTTGCAGGTGCTGGGCACTGTGCAGCCACAGAGTTGTGACTGAGCGCCTCCTGCCCTCCCGCACTTGCGGGCTGACTGTGGCAGTATCTGGTCCTGGGTTCCATGCTTCTGGGGTCAGTGTCCAGGGATGCCACCGCTGCTGCCCCATGCCATGTGTAGGCTGCTGTGGCAGCTGATCCCAGACCAGAGGCTGTCAGAGCTGGTCCCAGATAGCCTGAAGGTCGCCCAGTGCACCAGCCAAAGGGTCCATTCTTTCTTGGCCCACACCCAGAGTGAGGATTGCAGGCTCTAGGCACTGCACCACTGGCATGGGGAGACAAGTGGTGGGGGGTCCCTTACCTGCTACACACAAAGCCCAGGTTGTCGGGAGTCAGCTCTCTCTCCAGCATGCCCCAGTCTCATCCTTGGTCAGCCCAGAGCACAGAGGCCCACTCAGTCCTGGCTCCATATCTTGTGCCAGGCAGGCACAGAGGCAAGGCACAGAGCCTCAGCAGCTTTGTCTGTGGCTGGGCTAAACTGGTGCCCGCCTCATCTTGACCATCTGCCCAAGTGGGCACGGGCTCCAGCATTGCTTCCCAGAGAGCTCCAGGGTGCTTCCTCCCTGGTCCCTTCTTCCAGCTCCCAGTCCCAACAGGAAACCACCCCCACCCCAGGAAGCACATCTGTTGCCCATGGGGCACTTACTGCTTGGCCTCCCAAAGTTCTGGGATTACAGGCGTGAGCCACTGCACCCAGCCTGTGGAAACTGTTTTAAATGTCGGCTGAGAACAGGAAACATTGAAAAGTGGCAGGGAAACAGCATTTCCTGACCGCACACCCCATACCAGGCATCTATTAAGAGCTCCTCTAGGAAAACATATTCAGAGAGGTCTGGTAACTTGCCTCAGGTCACACAGCAAGTGAGAGGCAGAGTGGTAGGCAAACTCAGGCCTGCTGGGCTAGTTTCTCCCCCTAACACATAGCCCTGGGCCACCTCTCAGGCACAGCAGAAACCCACCCAGGAAGACAAACCTCGAGGCTAACAAGTTTGAAAAGTCGAGAAATCTCTCGGGCAAGGCTGAGACCTTTGACGCCCCTGGGGGAGTGGACTAGGAACTGGGCCAGGCATGTGAACACTAGGCTGATGACATTTACCTCCATTCATACTTTTGAGTGTTTTGGGTGTCTCTCCACACACATCATCATCATCACAGCTTCCATAGCCCAGGTCCCCTTCTGCACACCGACAGAGGGACCCAAGGTGATGGCTTTGGCCTTGTGAACATCCAAGCTATTGAATTTGTGGCCCTGAGGCTGGCCATATCATGGAGGTCTGACTGGGATCACTGCAGCTGGCTTGTCCCCAAGGCCCGGGGAAGTTTCCAAAGCAGCTTTCTGACCTAGCTTGGAATGGGGAGGTTGGCTTCTAAGCTTTGCTGTCTCAGATCATTAGAAATGGAATTTTTACTTAGGTAACTTGATGGTTTTTCTTTCCACTGAGGATTCAGCTTTCAATTCTGACCCTGAGCTGCCTTGGGGCCTGGGGAGTAAGGACAGCCCCTGCCTCCTTATGCAGAAGCCCCCTGACCCTTTCATCCAGAGTTCCCCACACACCCCTGGGCTTCTGTCTAGCATACCGGGCTGTAGCTTTGATTGCATGTTGATCCATCTCAAGCCAGACTCCTGGGGGTGGGGGTCACAGCCAGGCCATGGATGCTGAACAGATTCCCAAGGAAAGCCCAGGCTGGACACAGGACCAGTGCAACCACAGCATGTTGTGTTGGGGACACCTGCAGTGTGCAAACCACATGACTGTGGGGTGTGCCTCAGGCAGAGCTGGGATTCCCACCCCCTAAGCCCCAGCCCCCGGCTTCAGGCTGCACACTGTCCCTTCCCAGACCCATGCTGTCTCACAGCACATCTCTGTCATGTGCATTTGTCTCTGGAACTGCACCCAGGGGCATAAAGCCCTCTCCAGCCCTGGACCCTGTGTTTGGGAAGGGGGAGGCGGGAGTCTGCTCAGCAGATGGCAGGGCTGAGGGCCAGCCCTGGCCAGGACCCCATGGCCTGGTAAAAGAGGTCCTGGGAAGAACTGCACAATGGGGAGCTACTGGGGGCATCCCTGCCTATGCCCCCTGAGGACAGGGACTCATCTCCTCTGTGTTCCTAGAGCCCAGCCCAGGGCCTGGCCCAGAGTGCAGGTCAGCAAGTGGGTGCTGAGAGAATAAGTGAATGAATAAATGAATTAACACATGAAATGAAGAAACCGATGGAATACTGTAGGGCTCAGTGGAGGGGCTAACTTCTTCCAGCTGATAGAATCAAGGTAGGCTTCCTGGAGGAGGTGGCACTGGAGCAGCTTCTAAAGTGGTACAGGATTTGGACTCCTAGGGATGAAGGGAGGGCACCCCCCAGGGGTGAGCAATGGCCCCCCAACATTTACCAGTGCACTCAGGGCTTTGTAGGGAGTCAGAGCAGCTGAAGCCAGGGCCAGGCCTGTGGCTGAGGCAGATCCTCCTTATTCACTCAACAAACCCACCAGCTCTTGGACCTGAGCCCCACAGAAGTGGGACAGCCCCACCCTACAGGGGCTGGAGGATCTGGAGTCTGGGGACCTGTTTTAACTGTCCTTGGGTCTTGGCTTCCCCATCTGTAGAATGGAGCACAAGAGGGGCATCTCAGAGCACAGGGGAGATGGAACATGGGGGAGATGGAGCACAGGGAGGCATCTCAGAGGCCCCTCATTCTCAACTCTCATGGCATGTTTTCCAGGGCTGATCCATAGGACTCCCCGGGAGAAATCCATTCCTGGAGGCTTGACCTTGGCTCCTCCTCCCAGGAGGGCCTGAAGGAGGCTGGGAGGAGGCCCATGCTCAGAGCAGTTAAGCAGCTTACAGCCCTCAGGGATGAGCAGGGCAGTGGTGGGAGCAGAGAGGCATGCAGGTGGATGGGAGGGGCCCCTCCTGGAGGAATTGATGAGTAAGCTTCAGTAAGCTTGGTGTTAGGGGCCTGTGTTTCAGGGGTATTTTACAATCCTGGGGGTCCCTTTCCTTGTTCTGGCAAACCAGACTTCACAAGGACAGCACCTGATGTTCCCGGTCCTGCCACAAAGGCCATGCTGCAGGGGGTAGAATGAGGTCCCGGGCCAGGGTGAGGCCATGAGTACAGGGCGAGGCTGTGAGAGCATTTGGCCTTGAGTCTTGCCCTGTCTCCTTGCTCCAAAGTCTCCAACTTCTGGGTGGCCCAGGTGGCTTTCCCTTCTGCCTGCCTTGAGCCCTAACTCTGTCCCCAGTAAAACAGCATTCAGAGCTGCCCTGGGACCCAGGCTGGTGTCCTCTGCTCTCCCTGACCAGGCTGTGGACTCTGGAGGGCAAGGCAGCTGCCAGCTGGCTCCCAGGGCCCAGAGCTGGTGCCGGGACAGTATGGGCAAGCAGAGGGGCTCATTTTTGGGGGGCTGCACATGATTTTCCACTATCTCTTCTTTCAGAAACGTGTGGTCTGGCAGCAAATCCCTGCACTGTGTGTTCAACTTTGAAATCATCCTCCTGGGGGGCGGGAGGCCTCACCTGGCACAGACAAGCTGGAGCGGATGGGGAGTCTGCTTTGCAGATGGTGGGGATGAGGCTGAGGAGTGGGAGGGTGGCTCAGCCAGGCCAGGAGGTCCTCAGGGTCTCCTACCTGGGTGGGATTCCAGGCTCTCCAGGCCCCACCATCCTCACCTCAGACCCCGCCCCTAGGTATGCAGATGAACTTTTTCATGTGGACCCAACCCAGCCCTTCCTGGGAGCAGGTGCCAGGTCTGAGGTTGCATCAGTTTGCTCAGGCTGCCTAGCAAAGCTTCTCAAACTAGGAGGCTTCAACAGGAGGAATTCACTGTCTCAGTCTGGAGGCTGGAAGTCCAAGTCAAGGTGTCTGCAGAGTTGGGTCCTTCTGAGGCTGTAAGGGCGAATCTGTTCCTGGGGGTTCTCTGGCGATCTTTAGCGTTCCTTGGCTTATATGTACATCACCTCAAGCTCTGCCTCCATCTTCCCCGGTGTCTTCCCTGCACATTTCTTGGTTTGGGCATTAATTCACTCATTCCTTTGTATGTGCAGTCATTCATTGCCCGCTTCCTCCCTTCCTCCCTCCCTCCCTTCCTCCCTTCCTTTCTGCCTCCCTCCTTACCTCCTGTGCCTCCTTCCCTCCATTCCTTCCTTTCCTCCCTCCTTCCCTACCTTCCTCCCTTTCTTCCTCACACACTTTTGACCCCTCAGGGCTATGCTCATTCCATGTGCTTATTGGCTCCCATGTAGGTCATACTGAGTAAGAACAGAGAGGACACTTCTGCCAGGCCATCAGCTGAGACCTAGTCCAAGTCAGTGAGCTGTACGTGGGAAAGGGCCACCATGCAAGAGCTCGGCAGGAGCTGGAGGCCCGACAAGGCTGGGGGGTGAGAGGAACACATCCTGGGTACCTTCCCCAGCCTCCCCTCCCCACCCCTACTCATTCACTCAACACTTATCAGGGGCTGCTCGGGGCCTGGCCCCGCCTGCCCTCCTCTAGCTCACAGGGCCAGGGTGCCCAGAGAGAATTACAGGACCAGGCTGGGTGCAGTGGTTCATGCCTATAATCTCAGTACCTTGGGAGGCCAAGGCGGGTGAATCACTTGAGGTCAGGAGTTTGAGACCAGCCTGGCCAACATGGTAAAAACCCGTCTCTATTAAAAATACCAAAAATTAGCTTGGCCCACATGGTGGTGCATACCTGTATCCCAGCTACTAGGGAGGCTGAGGCAGGAGAATGACTTGAACATGGGAGTTGGAGATTGCAGTGAGCTGAGATCATGCCACTGCATTCCAGCCTGAGTGAAAGAGCAAGATTCCAGCTTAAAAATAAAAGAGGCTGGGCGAGGTGACTTATGCCTGTAATCCCAGCACTTTGGGAGGCTGAGGCAGGTGGATCACCTGAGGTCAGGAGTTCGAGACCAACCTGGCCAGCATGGTGAAACCCCGTCTCTCCTAAAAATACAAAACTTAGCCGGGCTTGGTGGCAGGCGACTGTAATCCCAGCTATCATCACTTGAACCCAGAAAGTGGAGGTTGCAGTGAGCCGGGATCGAACCACCACACACCAACCTGAGGGACAGAGTGAGACTCTGTCTCAAAAAAAAGAAAAAGAAAGAAATTCTGCCCCTGCCACCCCCATACCCTATTCCAAAAGCAAACCACATTCCCTTCCCCCACAACACGGAGCAGGATAAGTAGGTTCCATTCCACTCTAAAAAGTATTTGCATTTCCAAGGAAGATGCAGGTTGTCTTGGAAGAAAGAATTTAGGACTGTAAGTCATTCACACTCTAGTGAGAATTAACAAATGACTAAAGTGGCAAGTGATTGGACTCTTAATTTGTAAATGGAAACAGGAGACATGACCAGATGAGGAAATACAGGGATGGGGCACTCAGATGTCAGAGTGTGGGTCTGAGAAGCACCTGCAAATGCCCTGGAGATGTGGTCTTTCTTCCACTCCCTGGTCTGGTCATACTCATCTGCTGGCCATTCATCCTCCTGGGGCATTCAGCTCTGTCGAGGCTTCTGCCCAGAAGGGGGCTCCTCCACTCTCTCTTAGTCCTGTTCCTCCTAAGGGTTGTCACAGAGCTGCACCCCTCAGCCAGGCAGTTCTAGGAGGCTGGGGAAACTGGTCAGCTCCTGCTCCCATCTGGGGCCCTGCCACCTTCCCCCAGGCCCTGCCTACTCACCACTCATGACCTGTTGGGTATCGCAGGGCTCCATGTACCCATCATCCAGGGATGCAGGATGAGGCTGGGCATCAAAGGGGTCTGAGTACTCCATGTCAGCCTCCAGAAAGAAGGAGAAGGGGACAAGGACTCAAAGGGACACCCCTACTAAGTGATGCTGCACCTCCTGCCTGCTCACAGGGCCATCTGACACCTCTCCAGGAGTTTTTATTTTTATTTGTTTTTGAGATGGAGTCTTGCTCCATTGTCCAGGCTGGAGTGCACTCACCACCACACCTGGCAAATTTTTGTATTTTTGGTAGAGACAGGGTTTCACTATGTTGGCCAGGCTGGTATCACACTGCTGACCTCGTGATCTGCCTGCTTTGGCCTCCCAAATTGCTAGGATTACAGGTGTGAGCCACTGCTCCTGACTAAGAGTTTTTATTTTATTTATTTTTTTGTGACAGGGTCTCACTCTGTCGCCCAGGTAGGAGTATGCAATGGTGTGATCTCGCTCACTGCAACCTCTACCTCCTGGGTTCAAACAATTCTCCTGCCTCAGACTCTGGAGTAGCTGGGACTACAGGCACCTGCCACCATGTCCTGCAAATTTTTGTATTTTTGGTAGACATGGGTTTTCACCATTTGGCCAGGCTGGTCTTGAACTCATGACCTCAGGTGATCCGCCCACCTCTGCCTCCCAAAGTGCTGGGATTACAGGTGTGAGCCACCATGCCTGGCTTTTTAAAAAAATTTTTTTTATGCAGGGTCTTCCTCTGTCACCCAGACTGGAGTGGAGTGACTCAATTATGACTCACTGAAGGCTTGACCTCCTAGGCTCCAGTGATCCTCAAGCCTGCACCTCCTGAGTAGCTGGGACTACAGGTGTGTACCACCACAACTGGCTAATATTTTTATTTTTGGGGGGGCGGGGAGAGACAAGGTCTCACTCTGTTAGCCGGGACTGGTCTTGAGCTCCTGGAGTCAAACAATCGTTCCACCTCGACCTCCCAAACTGCTGGGATTACAGGCATGAGCTACTGCTCCCAGCGGCCTGAGTTCAAATCTTGGTAAGCTAGAACCTTATGAGACCTTGGGGAAGTCACACCGCTCTTCTGCGAGCCTCAGTTTCCACTTCTGCAAAATGGGAACATAGTGGTTGGAAGGGCAGAATCACAGGGTGGATGTTTACGTGCCCAGCAGGGGAGCCACTCCCTCAGATCTGTTTTAGGAAGGTCCTACCAGGTTCAAAGAGGAAGGGGTGCTAAGGAGAGAGGACTGGAGGGCTGTGGGGATGGCCATAGAGGAGGACCTGGAGACCAAGCCGGGTGGTCAGAGAGGCAGGAGGACAGACATCAGCCAGGTACAGTGGCTCACACCTGTAATCCCAGCACTTTGGGAGGCTGAGGCGGGAGGATCATCTGAGGTCAGGAGTTCCAGAGGATCCTGACCAACGCTGTGAAATACGGGCTCTACTGAAAATACAAAACTTAGCTGGTCATGGTGGTGTACACCTGTAATCCCAGCTATTTGGGAGACTGAGGTGAGAGAATTCGCTTGAACCTGAGAGGCAGAGGTTGCAGTGAGCCAAGATCTGGCTGGGCCACAGGGGGAGACCCTGCTCTGTTTCCAAAAAAAAAAAGAACTGACCTCCCCCAAGCAGGTGGAGGTCTGGAGGACTGGGAAGGTCTGGTGCTCCCGTCTCCTCTGTGATCACACATAAAACAAGCTCTCCACGATCCAGGGAGCCCAACCTGAGCGTCCTCTCCACCCAGTCTCCTGGGGCCACCCAGCCCCGCACCTCCTCCCCAGGGTCGCCCAGAAGGGCCTTGGCTCTGGCCATATCCGCAGCCTCCACCTTGATGAGCCGGCGTTGGGAGAGCGATCTCTGAGGTTCTTGGAGTCCCCTGGGCCCGCGGGGTCCAGCTCCAAGCGGCTCTCCACTGTCCTCATAGGAGTTCTCAGAGTCCAGGTTCTGCTCCTGGTAGGCCCTCAGGATGTCGCTCTCGGTGTAGTCCGGGGTGGGCGGCTGCAGAGGGGGCATCCGACCGCCAAAGCTCAGGTAGTCCGGTAGCCACTTGGCCATTTGGGCGCCTGTCACTCCCAATCCGGCCACTGTCAGAGGGACCCCCACGTGCTTCTCCCGGCCCCTTTCCCCAGGGAGGAGGAGGAAGAGGAGGAGCAGGGAAAGAGGAGAAAGGTCAGGTGCGCCCTTTGGCGGGGCTCTGGATGGATAGAGGGAAGGAAAAGGAGGCGACGGAGGAGGGAGGAGGACAAGCTCACCTTAGTCCGGTTGGGGAAGCACCGCGGGGGAAGGGGCGCCCCGCAGTGCCCTGAACGCCTTTCGCCTGGGGGTCAGGGCAAGGGGCATCTGCTGAGGCACGCGGAGTTTCCGAGGGCAGCGCGGTTCCCTGGCGCGGTTTGGCTGCCCGCCGCCTGCGTGAAGCTCCGGGATCCTTTCCTGGGTTCCGGAGATCCGGGACAGCGCCGCCTACAGACGCTCCCGGCCCCTTGCCCAGCCGGGACGCCGGGGATCTCAGTGCAGCTGGCCGGCTTCCCAGGGGCGCGGGCACCGCGCTCAAAGTTGGGGCGCCAAGACGGTGGCCCCGGCAGCAAGCATCCTTTGTCGCGCTCCTCTCGGCTCAATGGGGAACCCCAATCCCGCGGCCACCGGCTGGGCTGCCTCGATCCGGCCCAAGCCACCTGCACAAAGAGAAATAAAAACCTTCTTCAATCCCCCTTCACGTTTTCGGAGAGCCTTTCCCCGCCACGGCTGGGAGGTGGGACACTGGGGAGGAGGCGTGCAGGAACAAGACCAGGTTCCCACCAGCCCTGGAGTTTGGGGCAGCGGTGTCAAGGCTCCCCCATCTCCCCTCCGCAGTGTCCCCCACCTCTCGCCTCCCCCAGCGCTCCCCTCGCAGGTGACTGAGACCTCAGGTATTCTGGGGAGGGAGGGAGTCGCTGCCCGCGGAGCGAAGGGGGACCGGGGCCACGGCAGCTGGACACTGATCCGGACAGACTCCCGAGACTGGCCTCAGGGAGCGCGGAGCGCGGGAGGTGGGGACCCGCTGGGAGGGACACAGCTGGGGAGGAGTAGATGGAGGGGAGGGGGAAATTGACTGGGAAAAGGAGTACTGGACTTGATCAGCCAGAAGGGGTGACAGCCAGCAGAGCGGGTGGGAATGGCCAACACGGAAGGTCGAAATGGAATGAAACTGACCAGGTCTGGGGATGAAACTGACCAAGAGGTGGAGGTGTGGAAATTGGTGGAGAGGTCACTGGCTGAATTGATATTGACTCAGCGAGAAGGAAGAAGGGGGCAAAGGAAGGGAGGATGGGGATCGGGCTTCCCCTCCTCTAAGAGGGCTCTGCTCTGCACCGCCCCCCAACCCACCCCGGGACTAATTGCGGGCAGGGGGAGGGTTTAGGCAGCTGGCCTGGGGAAGGGAGATGGTATCTGTGTCTGGAGCCTGTCCTGGACATCTGTCCCTTTCTGGCTTCTGGGAGGGGGGGAGAGGGGCAGAAGTGAGAGGGATCTGGCCTGTCCTGGCTGCCTGATGTCAGCTGCCCTCGTCTGAGGGTGAGAGTGAGAGGCTTTGGGGGTGGGAGAGAAAAAGGGGGCCACTGGCCAATTTTCCAGGGCAGAACCGATTTTTTTTTTACCTTCCCTGTAAGGGGGCTTGCCCAGTTCCTCCTGATGGCTGGAGTGAGAGAGGGGTGGTCAGGAAGGATGGGACCCCAGATTCTCTCGTCTTGTGGCCATCCCCATCCCCCTCGTTGGTACAGGTTATAGCTTGGAGGGGACAGTTGGAGAACAAGAAAGAAGTCAGAACCAATGCTGCTATGACTGGGCCTCCTGGCAGGACCCGGGGCTGGGGACAGGGTCTGTCACTCACCGGGTCTTGGTTTCCTTATTTGAAAGATGTGGTTTCTACCAGGAAAACCCAGACAGCTTGAGGAAGGATCCCAGCAGGGAGCAAGTTATCACCCAGCTTTCTCGTTTTACCGATGGGGAAACTGAGGCACAGAGCTGAAAGGGACTTATTCAGAGCCACTCCACAGCTCATTCTGCCTGGATATCACCATGGGGACTGGCCTAGGTGGCACTGGAGTCTCTCTCTCTCTCTCTTTGAGATGGAGTCTCGCTCTGTCACCCACACTGGAGTGCAGTGGCCCAATCGATCTCTGCTCACTGCAACCTCTGCCTCCCAGATTCGAGCAATTCTCCTGCCTCAGCCTCCTGAGTAGCTGGGGTTACAGGCACCCACCACCACACCCGGCTAATTTTTGTATTTTTAGTAGAGAGGGGGTTTTACCACGTTAGCCAGGCTGGTCTCTAACTCCTGACCTCACGTGATCCACCCACCTTGACCTCCCAAAGTGCTGGGATTACAGGCATGAGCGACCGTGCCCAGCCTGGTGTCTCTTCAGGGAATCAGCTCTGCAACTCCTCTCCACGATGAGCTCCATTTTCCAGATGGGGAAACAGACCTGGAGCCAACAAGGCAAAGCCTCGGAAGGCTGCGGGCATCTAGGCCGTTCTGTTCCTCCCTTCTCTGCACTGACTGTGTCCCCATTCACAAACCTGTTGAATTCCTTTCTTTTTCTGGAAGTGCATGGCCACCCCCACCCCCCACCCCCGCTTCCACCCCACCCTTCCTGATCAGTGATAATCCCTGACAAGGCAGTGTATCCTTTGGGCAGCCAGGGAGCACAGCAGGTAATTGTCCTGCTTTCTGTCAGCTGCAATGCAATTCTGGGCCAGGGGGATGAGCTGTTGATAGATCTAATCAAATCCAACTCATCTCCCTGCCGTATAGAACTAGATATCTGAGGTATAAATAGTTGAAAAGGACCTTCTAATAATTACAGTCTGTGTTAGGAATAGTAATTAGAGGCCCCGAAACCAGAATCAAACATTTGACTTTCCTGTGCATTAGAGCTGGCTTTTCCTGGGGCTTCCCCCTCACCCTACCCCAAGGAGGGGAGTGGGGAGAAGCTTGCTGGGAGGGGCAGAAGGAGGTAAAGGAGAAAAGGAGAAAGAGATCCAGGCTAGAGGTCCAATCACCTTGCCCTGTGACCTTAAATCAGCCGTATAAACTCGTGAGCTTGGGTTTTCTATTTTTCTTTTCTTCTTTTTTTTGAGAAAGGTCTCACTCTGTTGCCCAGGCTGGGGTGCAACATTGTAATCATAGCTTGCTGCAGCCTCAACATCCTGGTCTCCAGCAATCCTTCCATCTCAGCCTCCTGGTAGTTAGGACTACAGGTGCATATCACCACACCCCAGTAATTTTTTGTTTTTATAAAAACAGTGTCTCGCTATTTTGCCCAGACTGGAGTGTAGTGTTGCAATCACAGCTCACTGCAACCTCAACATCCTGGTTTCAAGCAATCCTCCCATCTCAGCCTCCTCGTAGCTAGGACTACAGATGCACACAATCACACCCAGCTAATTTTTTTTTATAGAAACAGGATATTGCTATGTTTCCTGGGCTATTTTTGAACTCCTGTCTTTAAGCGATCCTCCTGCCTCCCTAAATGCTGGAAGTGTAATCCTAGCACTTCGGCCTCAAAGTGTAATCCCAGCAGTATAATCCCAGAGTGCTGGGATTACAGGCCTGAGCCACTGCCCCTGACTGTGAGCTTTGGATTTCTGACCAGGAGAGGAGGGAAACCAAGGAGGGCTACCAGGAGGTGGTCATGGAGTGGGCAATAACAAGGAGGTGGGCTGGGCAGCGGGACCCTCCTTCCCCAGCATTCACAGTCTGAGAGGCAGCTGATGAGGGGCTCCTCCAGGGTGGGTAGGGCCCAGGGAACTATCCTCCAGAGATTCTTCTGGCTTCCAGAATCCCAGCCAGTCAGATAATGGCTCATGACGAAGATGT